TAAATGGCTTATAATTTCATAATTTAAACTGGAATTGAATATTCTTGAATCTAACTTTATAAAACTAATTTCAACCCAACTTTAATCGAGGAAATTCCGATACCATACAATTACGAAAAAATGTTAAACCTTGGCTTGCTTGATAACGAATAAATGAGCGAAGAAAAAGTGAAGTTTCGTATGTACAATTCAAGTTTAATTTTATCAAACCTTTCTTTTAAGGATGCAAATCATTTGATAGAAGTAGCAATAGATAGTGCTCTAATCTGTAATACTTAAAGCTATAAATGGGTGAATATTACTAATTGCAAATTTGAGCTTAAAGAGATATTATTATAAACTTCTTTTGGCTTTAATCTGCATTTTCGTGACAATTACATCGATTAATCATAATTAGAATCTACTTATTATGGAAGTGGTGGCAATTAAGATTGCTCAATATTGGAAGAAACTTACGAGTAAACTTTATTCTAGATTTTTGAAAACAATACATTTTATGGATTCAATAATGACAAGTACTAAAATATATACTTCGAGCAATTCTTTGGCGATACCCAATTTTTGAATAACAAGTTTTATGGCAATTAATAAAGTCCTTTTACAAGTCCAATCTACTTTCAATTTTAGGATACTTGTCAAAAAGATCATGCTGAAAGAAGAATTTTATTTAAAGGCAATATCATAGATTATGGCTAAATTCCATATTATGAAAACAACTTGCTATAGATAGAGTACTAGAAATCAGCCTATTCTCATCTTACAGTAGAAATAATTGATAATATCATTCAAAACACAATATATGGTGTGTAGGATTGAGCATTTATAGATATAGATGATGGGACAGAGGATAAAATGACAATAATTCTATAGAATAACACCTTTAAGAATATAACGAATCATCTAACAATGCCAATTTTCAAAACAAATTCTTAAAATAATTTAGTAAAGGTAAATATTCAGCTTTAAATCATCTTTAGGATATATTGATAGAGGACTCAGTACTATCATCAGGTATTTTAGTTACAGGTGCAAATAACATAATTTAGAATATCTACTTCAAAAACATTACTTCCAGATGTATTAATATTTATCTTTCATTAACTTTTATTCTAGATAATGTTGATTCTGGTCTTTCATATATCAAATTAGATAACTGTTAGTCAAATTTGATCTAGAATATAAGCTTGATTAATTCAGTAATTGCAACATCTAGGCTGCTTTATATTTAGAACAGTGAAAATATTTAAGTATCAAACATAAAAGTAGTCAATATTACAATGGAAGACAGAAACTTAATAGATATTTAGCATTCTAAAGGTATAATGTTGCAGGATTTGAATATAAGTCGTCTTTTAAAGATTAATAATGGTAAGTATTTCACTAATAACGTTTATAGCAAAGTTATATCTAATTTATCTGTATTAGTTATTGCCAATTGATAGGGTCAACTAATATTCATTCTAAATATCCTAGGCATATGTAGAAATTTCCTAGGTGTCATTCATAAGGATAAACTAGATAAATTACTAATCTATTAATGACGAAATATAAGTTGGACTTAACGATTTTTAAATAATGAATTGTATCAAGTTAGATTAGTATTCAATGATCTTGATAGAAGAGATAGAGTTTGAAAATGCATATATATCTATTAGTAACTTTAGAGCAATAAGTAACTCACTAGATCAAGCATCATTATTTGAATTAAAACATACCTCCAAATACTTTTAGATAATTAATGCTGATATAAGAAATAACTCTGGCAGATTATTCAAATTTATACCTAAGATACCATAAAAAGACCTTTAACAGAATGTTAATGTCATTGATACAAACATCGCAGGAAACTATGGTCAAACATTTTCACTTTTATATGTAAAAGCCTACTCTCAAGTTTTAATGACTAATATAACATTTGAAGATAATTTTGGATATGGAAGAGGCTCAATAATAATGATTGAGCAACTTAACTCAAGTATATAGATTAATAAGAGTAAATTCAGACATAACTATGGCTACTAAGGTATTTTATTTTCATAGTTAGAAGGAAATATTTCTGTCAAAGATAGTGCTTTTGTAGATAATTTTTCTCTGATTGGAGGAGTATTATTTTTATAAAATGATGGATTAGCTTAGTTCATAAATTGTAATATAACAAGGAATAGGGCTGCTATTGCTAGTATTTTTTATTCCATCAATTCATAAGGAGCTATAATGATTAGTGGAGGACTAATATAAGATAACTTATCGTTACATTAAGGCTTGTCTGAAGTATTAGACTTTGTAGAGATAAAATCAGATTTAGTTTCAAAAAATTTTTAAGAATATGCTTTACGAATAATAAGTCTATTTGATGATCTAAAAGTAGATCAGCTATAAAATCATGGAATTTAATTGATAAAAGGCACTTTGATATTTATAGATGATCTTGTCATAATAAATTAAACTTCACTCATTTCAAGCAAATCTTATTCAGTTTTAAACTTATAATAATTTACTATTTAAGACATTGATTATCTAGAAACTTCTCTGATTTTGATTGATGAATCAATATTAGAAATTAATCAAGCTAATGTAGCAAATATTTCAGGTATTAATAGTCTTATATCAATCAATTCAAATTCATAGTTATTGATATAAAATTTGAATGGAAAAAGAATAAAATGTTAATTATTAGAATCTTTCTCATCTACTATTAATCTTTAAAATATTTCCTTTCAATAAATTGAAGTACTCGAAAAATAACAGTATTTTATTGAAATTTTATAGACTTAAGTAGTTATTTAGGATTTTATAATGTAAGATTTCAAAGCATATTCAGAAAATAATATGATGTTTTGAGCCAGTAAAAGTAAAATGATAGTAAATGATATGTGGATAGAAGATTTCAATACATAAATTTATAAGTTATCAAATACCGATTTGAACTTAACAGATTCTGGATTTAGAAGTGGAATGAATTAAAAGTAAATAGGTATAGTTGTTAATGCCCTTGATTCAAATATAATTATTAATAATTGTGTTTTCTAAGATCTAAATTCCCTCAGAGCTTCAGTGATTCTACACTAATCTACTTTTGAGGATATGATTGTCTATAACTTATCTATTAGTTCTAGTTATTTCAGTGATGGTCTAGCTTAAGATAATGGAGGCTTTATTATAAGTGATTCCTCTAATCTACTAATAAAGAAATCAACTTTTTAAAGAGGAAAAGTTTAAAACACTGGTGGGGCAATTTATCTAAAATGTACTCAATTAAGCTCTTTAAGTAAGATTTTATCAATATTTTAATATTCAAAGAATGCAATTATGACTTAATAAATAATAATTTTACTGGAAATTAAGCTGATTATTAGGGAGGTGCAATTTACTACGATTTATTTTGACCTTTAAATCTTTAAGATAACCACTATTCAAATAATAAGGCAATTTATGGAACTGATATTGCTTCCTATAGCTACAAACTTAAAATGATAAATTCAGATATCAGCTTTCTCAAGAATCTCACGAGTGGAGGCTTGCTTAAATCAACTTCTCTGCTAATAGGTTTATTTGACTAAGATGAATAACTAGTAAAAATTGATAATTTCAGCACATTATATTTATTCTCAGGAAGTGAAAGCTTATCTGTTAGCGGTAATACTTTATTTACGGCCATTAATGGTATCTATGAAATAATGGATGTTCTTCTTGTGGGTTAACCATCGTAAGAATTTTAAATTAAAGCATTTTCCTTTAATGGAATAGACTAAGAAGGCATAAAGTTATTTGAACCAAATTTTGATTCAACACTAATAATAGACATAAAATTCAGAGAATGTTTGGCTGGAGAAGTTTTGATTGAAAATAAATGTTAAATATGCACAAAGGGTACTTATTCGCTATCTACCTATGATAAAACTTGCAATTTATGCCCTATAAATATGAGATGTGATGGAGGAAATATGATTTCAGCTGACAAAAATTATTGGAGAAGTAGTCTAAATACTACGATTGTTTTCCAATGCCCAAAAGTTGGAGTGTGCTTGTAAGTTTGCTAATCATTTTAATATACTAAAGGGGTGGTTATAACTCAGAGTGCAGTTTAGGTTATCAAGGAAAACTGTGCACTGAGTGCTCAAAAGATCTTAATGGAGATTACTATGCAAGAAATAGTTAATATGATTGCTCAAAATGCCTATCATTGGCAGAATCGATATCCATATTGACTGCAATCATATTAGGATTGGCACTATATATAATCTATATTCTCTAGTAAATTAAACTTTTAATTCATTTAAATAGCTCACTCATCAGAAAGCCAAACAGAAATAATCTATAAACTCTTTTGATGCGAATCCTTACAAATTACTTCTAGATTTTAATGATGGTAAAAGAATTCTAGTTGAATTGGCCGGTATTTTAGTTACAGGTGCAAATAACATAATTTAGAATATCTACTTAAAAAACATTACTTCCAGATGTATTAATATTTTTCTTTCATTAACTTTTACTTTAGACAATGTTGATTCTAGTCTTTCATATATCACGTTAGATAACTCTTAGTCTAATTTGATCCAAAATATAAGCTTGATAAATTCAGTAATTGGAACATCTAGGTTGCTATATATTTAGAACAGTGAAAGTATTTAAATATCAGGCATAAGTGTAGGCAATACTACAATAGAAGACAGAAATTTAATAGATATATAACATTCTAGAGGGATATTGTTGCAGGATTTGAATATTAGTAGTCTTTAAAAATCTAATAATGGTAAGTTTTTTCACTAATAACGTTTTAGCAAAGCTATATATAATTTATCTGTATTAGTTATTGCCAATTGATAGGGTCAACTCATATTCATTCGAAATATCCTAGGTATTAGTAGAAAATTCCCAGGTGTCATTCATAAGAATAAGCTAGATTAGTTACTAATCTCTTAATGATGAAATATATGTTCAACTGAACGATTTATACATAATGAATTGCAGCAAGGTCGATTAGCATCCAATGATATTGATAGAATAGATAGAGTTTGAAAATGCATATATATCTATTAGTAACTTTAGAGCAATGAATAACTCACTTGGTCAAGCATCATTATTTGAATTAAAACATACCTCCAAATCCTTTTAGATAATTAAAGCTGATATTAGAAATAACTCAGGCAGATTATTCAATTTTATTCCTAAAATACCTTAAAAAGACCTTTTACAGCATGTTAATGTTATTGATACAAACATCGTAGGTAACTATGGCCAAACATTATCACTAATATATGTAAAAGCTTACTCTCAAGTTTTAATGACTAATATAACATTTGAAGATAATATATGTAAAAGCTTACTCTCAAGTTTTAATGACTAATATAACATTTGAAGATAATTTTGGATATGGAAGAGGCTCAATAATAATGATTGAGCAACTTAACTCAAGTATATAGATTAATAAGAGTAAATTCAGACATAACTATGGCTACTAAGGTATTTTATTTTCATAGTTAGATGGAAATATTTCTGTCAAAGATAGTGCTTTTGTAGATAATTTTTCTCTGATTGGAGGAGTATTATTTTTATAAAATGATGGATTAGCTTAGTTCATAAATTGTAATATAACAAGGAATAGGGCTGCTATTGCTAGTATTTTTTATTCCATCAATTCATAAGGAGCTATAATGATTAGTGGAGGACTAATATAAGATAACTTATCGTTACATTAAGGCTTGTCTGAAGTATTAGACTTTGAAGAGATAAAATAAGATTTAGTTTCAAAAAATTTTTAAGAATATGCTTTACGAATAATAAGTCTATTTGATGATCTAAAAGTAGATCAGCTATAAAATCATGGAATTTAATTGATAAAAGGCACTTTGATATTTATAGATGATCTTGTCATAATAAATTAAACTTCACTCATTTCAAGCAAATCTTATTCAGTTTTAAACTTAAAATAATTTACTATTTAAGACATTGATTATCTAGAAACTTCTCTGATTTTGATTGATGAATCAATATTAGAAATTAATCAAGCTAATGTAGCAAATATTTCAGGTATTAATAGTCTTATATCAATCAATTCAAATTCATAGTTATTGATATAAAATTTGAATGGAAAAAGAATAAAATGTTAATTATTAGAATCTTACTCATCTACTATTAATCTTTAGAATATTTCCTTTCAATAAATTGAAGTACTCGAAAAATAACAGTATTTTATTGAAATTTTATAGACTTAAGTAGTTATTTAGGATTTTATAATGTAAGATTTCAAAGCATATTCAGAAAATAATATGATGTTTTGAGCCAGTAAAAGTAGATTGATAGTAAATGATATGTGGATAGAAGATTTCAATACATAAATTTATAAGTTATCAAATACCGATTTGAACTTAACAGATTCTGGATTTAGAAGTGGAATGAATTAAAAGTAAATAGGTATAGTTGTTAATGCCCTTGATTCAAATATAATTATTAATAATTGTGTTTTCTAAGATCTAAATTCCCTCAGAGCTTCAGCGATTCTACACTAATCTACTTTTGAGGATATGATTGTCTATAACTTATCTATTAGTTCTAGTTATTTCAGTGATGGTCTAGCTTAAGATAATGGAGGCTTTATTATAAGTGATTCCTCTAATCTACTAATGAAGAAATCAACTTTTTAAAGAGGAAAAGTTTAAAACACTGGTGGGGCAATTTATCTAAAATGTGCTCATTTAAGCTCTTTAAGTAAGATTTTATCAATATTTTAATATTCAAAGAATGCAATTATGACTTAAAAAATAATAATTTTACTGGAAATTAAGCTGATTATTAGGGAGGTGCAATTTACTACGATTTATTTTGACCTTTAAATATTTAAGATAACCACTATTCAAATAATAAGGCAATTTATGGAAATGATATTGCTTCCTATAGCTACAAACTTAAAATGATAAATTCAGATATCAGCTTTCTCAAGAATCTCACGAGTGGAGGCTTGCTTAAATCAACTTCTCTGCTAATAGGTTTATTTGACTAAGATGAATAACTAGTAAAAATTGATGATTTCAGCACATTATATTTATTCTCAGGAAGTGAAAGCTTATCTGTTAGCGGTAATACTTTATTTACGGCCATTAAAGGTATCTATGAAATTAAGGATGTTCTTCTTGTGGGTTAACCATCGTAAGAATTTTAAATTAAAGCATTTTCCTTTAATGGAATAGACTAAGAAGGCATAAAGTTATTTGAACCAAATTTTGATTCAACACTAATAATAGACATAAAATTCAGAGAATGTTTGGCTGGAGAAGTTTTGATTGAAAATAAATGTTAAATATGCACAAAGGGTACTTATTCGCTATCTACCTATGATAAAACTTGCAATTTATGCCCTATAAATATGAGATGTGATGGAGGGAATATGATTTCAGCTGACAAAAATTATTGGAGAAGTAGTCTAAATACTACTATTGTTTTCCAATGCCCAAAAGTTGGAGTGTGTTTGTAAGTTTGCTAATCATTTTAATATACTAAAGGGGTGGTTATAACTCAGAGTG